TTTGGATCTGTGTGGCAGCAGCAATATACAGTAAATAAATCAATAAATCCATTGCTCTTGTCTCCTCTGAGGCTGGGACTCTAAACAGTGTTCTGTGCTCAACTGTGCAGCCAAAGACAGAACAGTTAGCATGCTTTGCTCAAACTTTTGCCGTGGCATTAGAGCTGCTACACCGTTGTCACTTGCGGAATCAAAATGACAGCGCCATGGCTTCAGGTTTTTTAAGGTATCTAATATTTTTATACTTAATTTCCATGATCTAAATATTGTTAAAAATTAAAAGTTTGTTGTCATTTGGAAGTGTGTAGGCCTTCTTGCATTATTATGCTGTTACATTATGATTATATATTCAGTGGCATAAAATGGTCTTTAAAATGACAATAATATCGCTTATAACAATTATTTCTGGGGCAATATATATCGCACAACAAAAGGTTGTTATCGTGACAGGCATAGCCACTGTCCTCTTAGGAGTGTTAATGTAGTCAGTAAAATGACAGAATGTTCATTAACAGAGATTTTTTTTGGATTATTATTATTTTGTCTATGATAACAAAGACGAGGTGAAAAAGCTCATCATAGTGATAATTAAACAATTTCAATTAAAACATACTGACGAAAAATATAACACCAAAAATATTAACAATGCACTAACAATACTTCTTAAGGAAAAATCTAGCAATGTGATTCTTTAAAATAATCATTTAAAAATCCTAGACTGCCTGCTTAATTAACTTATGCATCTTTTACAAAATATTAAAATGTTAATATTAATATATATATATATACACACATTATAATGTATAACTTACAGTTATACATTAGGGCACATTTAAGTTCTTTAAAAAAATCACTAAACAATTTTTCTTCATTGCTCCAAAATAAACAAATGTTTACATTTTATTAATATTTGTTTTACTATTTGGGAGGGCAGTTCCTAACGGCAGTTCATCAAAGGAGGGTTTATCTCAAATTAATAAGTTTGCAGATTTTTTTTCCCTTTTTTTGACAAAAGTCAACTTTTTAAGTGTATGAAAAAAAGAAAGAAAACAATTTGTTTAGGTTGATTAAGTGTATTAAACTTAGTTGTACTGACTTTTTCATGGATTTTTGCTGAGCCAACATAAAACCAGTCTTTTTCAAGTTGGGTTTTTTACAGTGTAATGTGGTCTGATGATTCATGAGTGACCATGCTTTTGGATTACCTAACATGCCCAAAGTCGATAGCAGGTAAAACTGAAGCTGTCATGAACCCGATGTCTCATACTCTGCAGTTATCCTTATTGTTGCCATTTAGTTACTGACAGCTTTCCCTATACTTGCTCTGTGTGTGTAGATATATACCAGCTACATAGACCTGCTGTACCCTACAGAGGACAGGATCGAGAGACTCAGAGACGTCTACTACTTTAGCTGTGACTGCAAAGAGTGCAAAACCAAATCTATGGTATGTGGAATGGATGGACAATACACAATACACAATCTAATTCAAATGTCTGTCTGAAGATTCCTCATCTATAAGGTAAAAATGTGTATTCATCACATGTACAAGAGAGATTGTAGTATATTACATATTGTTTTGTTTTATAATATATGATTATAATATAATATGTAGATCATATAATTTTGCTCTTGTGGTTTTGTAGGATGTGGAGAAGATAAAGGTGCGGAAACTGAGTGACGAGATCAGTCAAAAGGAGATCAGGGATATGGTGCGTTATGCTCGGAATGCCATGGAAGACTTCCGCAGGGCCAAACTTGAGAAAAATATCCTTTTTGACCCTTTTGACTTCTTGTAGTGTGAAATTGCATAATTGCTTGATTGCTTCATTCTTAAATCTGTCAGTCACATATCCAAAATATTATTATTTATTGTATAATTCATTTTTCTTTTGAATGTTTGCTAAGTCAAGCATCACTATTACTTCTGCCTACAGGGTTGTGATTTAGGAGTGATTTAAACAAACCTGTCACTTTTTTAAAACCTCAGTGTCACAAATGATGTGGCTTTTTGAAGAAGTGTTGCTTTCATTTGTCCAAAAGCATATCTAGAGACCGAAATATTAAATGAATATGGCCACTTAGATCAGCTTTGCAACATCCTAGCTACCACCCAGAACACCTTAGTCCACCACTGATGTTTAGTCAAAGGTCATTTTGGGTTTATTGAATCTTGACTCGTTCACGTCCCCCTGAGCTTCTAGAGATGTGTGAGCTCAGCATTGACAAGATGAGCCCTGTGTTTGATGACGCTAACATCTACGTCCTTCATATGATGTACCAGGCCATGGGCATCTGTCTTTTCATGGAGAATTATGATGGGGCAGTTAGATATGGAGAAAAAGTCATGAAGCCATACACGTAAGAACACACGCATTCATAAATTGTGTGATATTTATGCATATGCCAACATATTAACGCCTGCTTTTTATCTGTAGTGTCCTTTACCCAGCATTCTCTTTAAATATTGCATCTATGTATCTGAAGATGGGCAGACTCTACATTGCTCTGGACAGGAAGTCCACTGGCATAAGTGCCCTTCAAAAGGTACAAACTCCTGCAAGACTGGCCCTTATGTCATTCCAAACATGTATAACTTTCTCTTGTGGAATGTAGCACACAAATCATACTTTTTTTGGTCCTGTTTTAAACTTTTTGGAGCATGATAGCCCCAGTTCCCACTCATTTTTTTTGTGTGTTCCATGGGAGAAAGTGTAGAAAGCCTTAAATCGTTGTGGTGCAAAGTAATGTGTCAGTGGTTGTTCCCAGTGTCAACAGGGTTATATGCGTTTATAATGACATTAAGGTAAATGTGAGAGTAAATGATTTATACTATGGCTTTTAAAATATATATATATATAACAACAGAAACTAAAAAGACCTTATTAAGACCTTAACATTTTTAAATGAACTGCTTAAAAGTGCTCATACTCTCCCAGGTTTTAGGACTACAGACAAAAGTATTTTTTATTTGTTTGTTTGTTTGTTTTTCTACTCTGTAAATGCCAGAAGTGATTGATAATTCTGTTTGTGTTACAGGCATTGGCCATCATGGAAGTTGTTCATGGAAAGGACCACACATATGTAACGGAGCTCAAACAAGAAATGAGAGGGGAATAATGTAAATAGTGTGCACTGTTTAAGATTGTACTCGAATTTCACTTTATTAAAGTAAACAAATGGAGAGACTTTCTTCAGTAATATGCTTAAGGCTGATAAAGCATTTCTGTACAAGATATAACTCAGAAAGAAGTGCAAGTGTAACAAGTGTGCAAAAAGGGAAAACAAAATAAGTAATTCATATCATTTAAGCAACTGGGCAACAGTAACAGCAGATAAACAGACAAACAGAGCAAAGATACCATAGTCATACAACTGAGCAGACATCGATGCACACATCAGAAATCACGGAGGGACAGGCGCAAGAAGAATTCTAGCAGGAAGCAAAAGAAAAGAGAGATCTTAAACAGCTATGCTTCAACTCAGCACCACACACATAATCTGGAAAACCAGAAGAGAAACAGACTGATACAAACAGTAAAACGACTATAGGAAATTTTCTTAACCAATCAAATTTGAGGACCGGAACTATTTTCTGTATAAATAGTCTATGTATTAATTTCATTTTTGATTACAAACACCAGTTGTTATCCCCCGGCCTCTGCTCACTCTAGGCCGCCGCCGCTCACTCTAGGCCACGCTGTGTTTCGTTGTGAAAGCAAAACTACTTTGTTTGGCCTTCCAAAAATGGACACGACTAGAAATCAGTGGTTAACAAGGGACAGGTGATGCAAATGAACCAATAAACGCTAGACGGCAAATCACAAGGCACATAGAAACAAACAAAACAGGGCCATATGCTCACACAAAACATGGCTTCAAGCAAAGTGACACATAAAATACATAAAGTCACTGCCCCAGTTTCTCTTGCTCCAAATTAAAGGCCACTACACAGTAAAACATTTTTAAAGATAAAATCATCTGGATTTTAATGTAAGGTGACCAGACGTGCCACTTCCCGGGGACGTCTGGTCACCTTATTTTAATGATGATTATTCATTATAATTACATGATTTATATAATTACTACCCCATTAAACAAGCCATTGTAGTTTAATAATTATTATTAAGCTTCTATTTTAAATGTATATAAATATATACAGATAATATGCAAGGTTTAGAATCAATAGATAAAGCTTTAAACATGACTACATACAAAGTCTCTGTATACCTATATTTACTATCAACTATATAAACTAACTTCACAACTTTCACTTGATGTTGTGGATTTGATTAGAGTAATATTAGTCAGGAATGTTTAACAAAACGTTTAATTAATTGTTTTTCAATAATAACAACAGAAAGTTTATATAGTCATTTATTGAGCTGTTCAGATTTAAGAACAGGGCTGTCAAACTCAATTCCAGGAGTGCAGAGTTTAGTTTCAACCCTGCTCCAACACAAACACCATGTATTTTTCAAATAATCCTGAAGGACATGATTAGCTGGATCAGGTGTGTTTAATTAGGGTTGGAGCTAAACTCTGCAGGGATGTGGCCCCCCTGCAAACAAGTCTGCACTGGCCCTTTACGAGAATTTGCTCATTGGCAAAACATTGGCCTCTTAGCACTGGCCCTGCACGGGCAGCCCTCACTTAGCCTCCAGGAAGCCTGAGCGCTGTTTTATTGAAAATAATAAAGTTTGAATCACCGTTATGGAGGTAAGCGCTTGCTTTAGTTGGGCTCTTGACCCTTACAAAAGTTGTAAGAAAACAAACTGATCAGTTGGTGATGGTTATTTATTGATGATTCAGTCATCATGTAATGTCATGATTCATTGATATCGTCCAGTGGCTGATCTCTGAGAACATTATTTAGATTTGCTCATTTCATTTTATAGTCGCCATTGAATACCACAGCATGAAATTTTATCCTGCTTTATTTTGAATGTTTCTAAGTCATTATGCAGAAATGATTTGGACAGGATCATGAAGACTCACACAGATGTTCAGAGTGGAGCTGAATATTTTGTTGACTGTCACCATTGTTGAGGTTCATACGCTGAATCTTGATATCTGTGTGAGTCTACATGATCCCATCCAAATTATTTCTGCTTAACAACTTAACAATTTTCAAAATATTAAAGCAAGACAAAATTTCACGCAGTTGTATACTGGGGCTACTATAATGTGAAATAATTAAATCTAAATAATGTCCTCAGAAATCAAGCTCTGGGTGAGATCAGGGAATCAGGCCACTACGTGATGACTGAATTATCAGATCAGTTCCTCTTCTCACAGCTTTTACTATAACAAATGGGCTTCAGAAACACAGTTATAGCAGTCAGAGAAAAACTTAAGTTAAAAAGTCAAGGGTCAGGAACCCAACTAAAGCAAGCACTTATCTCCATAACGGTGACTTCAAACTTTATTATTTTCAATAAAACAGCGCTAAGGCTTTCTGGAGGCTAAGTGAGGGCTGCCCGTGCAGGGCCAGTGCTAAGGGGCCAACGTTTTGCCAATGAATTCTCAGGGAGGGGCCCTGCGCTGGCAGCCCTAAGTGGGCCCGTGCAGGCTTGTTTGCAGGGTAATGTTAATATTTCATGTATCACAACCATGATGTCAACACCATCTTCCAATTTGGGCTAAGTGACGCCTGCCCGTGCAGGGCCAGTGCTAAGGGGCCAACGTTTTGCCAATGAGCAAATTCTCAGGGGCCCTGCGCTGGCAGCCCTAAGTGGGCCCGTAAAGGGCCAGTGCAGGCTTGTTTGCAGGGTAAGGTTAAGCTGGTTTGTAACCAAAAAATCATGCAGTGAGGAAAAGGCTTCAGTTTTTTCCTTGTTAATGCTGTTAGACCAGAGAGAAGACTTCCTGATCATGGCCTCGACTTTGTCTTGCGCGTTGAAAATGGTTGTGGATGATCCTTGTAATCCGAGGTTCAGCTCATTCAGACAGGAAAAAAACATCACCCAGATAGACCAATATTGTGAGCCACTCTTCGTCGTGTAAGCGGTGACACAATTCAAAGGGATGGTCAAGAAAAAAAGCTTTAAGTTCATCTCTCAATTCAAACAGTCACGTCAGCACCTTTCCCCTGGACAGCCATCGAACATCCGTATGGAGTAACAGTGTGATGTGGTCGCTGCCCATTTCAATGCACAAAGTAGAAAACAAATGGGAATTCAAAGGTCTTGCTTTATCAAAATTCACGATTCTCACAGCATCATCCAAAACTTCCTTAAGACGGCCAGGCATTCCCTTGGTGGCCAACGCCTCTCTGTGGATGCTGCAATGTACCCAAGCTGCAGAGGGCTCAACTGCTTGCACACGTGTTAACTCCACTATTCTTCCCTGTCATGGCTTTTGCTCCATCAGTACAGATGCCCACCTACTTTGTCCACAGAAGCCCATGTGACGTTACAAAGCTATCTAAGACTTTGAAAATCTCCTCCCCAGTTGTCCTGCCATCCAACGGTTTGCAAAAAAGTACATCTTCCATAATTGTACCTTCATAAATGTACCACACATATACCAGCTGTTGAGCTAAACCAGCTACATCCGTTGATTCATCGATTTACAAAGCGTAGAATTTGCTGGCTTTTATGTGAAGCAATAGTTGTTTTAAAATGTCTTCTGCCATATCAGCGATGCGACGTAAAAACAGTGCTGTCTGATGATGGCATCATCTTTATTGTTTTTTTTGGCCTTTTCCCCGAGCATTACACCAGCTATATCAGCAGCAGGAAGAATTTACTTTTCAACAGTAGTACGAGGTTTGCCCGTCTTAGCCACTCTGTAACTCACCATGGATGCTTCGAAGAGCCTTCCTGTTAAGGTAATCTGAGACTGTTAAAAGGGCCTTACTACTTCCGAGTTGTTTTAATTGTCTTTCGAAAAACTCTCGTGGTTTATTTTTTAAAGTGGGATGCTTTGTTTCTAAATGCCTGTGCAAAAATGCTGGTTTCTTGCAGTTATGAGAGAGTACCATCGCACATATAGCGCACCGTGGCAGAGGATTTTCTTTACTGCCAATGTATGTAAAGCCAAGTGAAATATATTTCTCATCATATTTACGCCTCTTTGATGGTCTTTTTGTGAATTGCTGGTGATGGTGAGATGGCGTTTTGGCTTCGGATGCATCGCTGTCAGTATCGGTGTCAACCATAGCATGCAGTGCACTCACGCTCGCTACTGAAGTGCTGTCAGAGGGACCTGCGGTACTGCTGTCAGAGGTTTGTGGATCAGCCGAGCAGCTGGGTGTAGAACTTCTCTTTGAGGCTGTAGGCCGAATTCTTTGTAGCCACTTGTCCATTTTAATCTTACTGCTTCATTAGCTTACCTATAGCCGTGTGCTGTTGATACATGGGGTACGTCAGGATGTGCACTTACGCATGACACTTGAGTGGACGCATTTTTTGACCGCAAAATATGGGGTAATTTGATTGGATGTCATGGATTTGACCGTTTATGGCACTTTTTTGTGCACTAGAGGGGGCACGCACTTATATATTTTGCCTGTGAGAAACATGCTGTTATTTAAGAACGTGATATAATTAACAGTATATTTAATTATTTTGTTCACATATCCCCTCCGTACGTATACCCCAGTTTGAGAACCACTGACTTAGAGTGTCCCAAGCTCACGAGTCACCTGACTCATAGCTAACAGAGCAGTGTGTAGGAACATTGCCACTTAAAGCAGAGTAAGGGATTTCTGGTAGCCAATGTTGATATTTGAAATCACCAAAACAAACACGCCCCTACCCCAAAAGGGTC